TTTTTTTTTTTTCGAATTTCCACAGCTCTCGCAATTTCAAAACCAAGGCGCGGGATCTTCAGGGTCAAAAAGCCCCCTTCAAAAATGCTAAACACAGCCCGCAGGAATTCGTGCCGTCCCGCCGCCGCTCCTCTTTCCTGCGATTCATCCAATCTCGGCCGCGGGTCCATGAAAAAGGCGTCAAAATGTCAGATCGTCTTTGCATCAGTCGTCGAGGTTGGCTGCTCGGTGACGTCGGCTTGCTCCAACCTTGCCGACAAGCATCGCAACTCTCACCATCGCACCTCTCACCATCATGCATAAGTAAGAACATACACGATAAAGATATTGCAGGACAAGCTTATACTACAGCAGACAACGGGTGATCTAGCGAAAGCCTTCGAGCACAGCATCGCACTGGAACCAGCACCGACGTTCGAGCGTCGACACCGCCGGACTGGGGGCAGGGGCAGACGTAGCGTCGACGGCTGGGTCGGCAAAGTCGATCTGGACACCTGCACATCGCGGCGCCCGCTTGAGCGACACGGGCAGCGAGCGCACAGAGCTCGAGTCGGATGCTGCCAGCGAAGCATGCCGCGTGCGTGCACGGATGAGGTTGCGGCTCAACAGGCTACCTGCCCTCGGCTCGCGTGAACGACGTCGAGGCTCAGATGCCTCGACCGACGGATCGACGTGGCCGTACACGGTGGAGGATCCGAGCGATGAGCCCGTGCGGCTGACGTCAAGACTCTGAGCGTCATCAGTGGCGGCCAGTGGACTGCTGCATGTGGGCAGCCATTCAGTAGGCGAGCTGCCCACGCCAAACTGCTTGTCCGCTGCCGACGGAGGCCGGCTGCTGTCTTGCGAGATGGAGCTCATGCTCGATTCGCCCACGTGCTCGGATGCACTGTCGTCCAGCGCCGAGTCGGCCACCGACGACGACGATCCACACGCCGACTTGTGCCACCTGGTCTCCGAGTCGCTCGTGGGTTCGCAGAGCGCGTCGAGATCAAAGTCGAGGTGGTTGCGTGCGGACCAACCGGCGCAGCGAAACGAGGCGGGCGCGCTGAGGAAGAGGTGGACGCGCGTCGGAGCTAGCGGCGACGCCATGAAGTCCTCCAGCCGCTCGTCGCTCACGAGCAGACGCACGAGCTTGCGCTCCCAGTTGGTGCTCGTCTTGTCCCTCGCCATGCTGCGCCGCTGCTCGGAAGCGTCGGAACCGAGGTTTGCGAGGCATGCATCGCTGTCGTCATCGCCATGGACATTCTCGTGCTCTTGGTCGTCCGGGTCGTCGCAGCTATTGAGAAGATGCTGAGCGGCGTCGTGGGCAGAGGTGCACCTGCCGATGGCCTGAATCAGATCGAGCACAAACACCTCGCGCGGCATTGCGGCACTTGCGCCGATGACGACGAGCAGCCGCAGGTCGTTGGGCGACACAGCTCCGAGCGCGCCAGGGAAGGGATGGCGCGAAGGCCCCTCGCCGTTGGTCGCGACAAAAGCGGCGAGCTGCTGGGCAGCCTGTTCGAGGTGGAGCCTGAGCTGGTCGAGTCTAGCGAGCAGCTTGGATTCCTTCCGTTGCCTGGCGGAGCTGGAGCGCGACCGCTTGCGTGTCGAGGGTCGAGACTCGGCAGCATCGATCTGGCGTCGTTTACGGAGCAGACTGACTGGTTCGGGAAGCTGACCCTTTGCAAAGAGGACGTGGTGGACGAGGCATTCGGCGAGCTTGGCGGTGAGCTGGTTGCAGTGGCCGTGCGATTGCGCCTTGGACAGATCGACACTGTCGCGACGCAGTGCGTTCAGGATGCGAGAGCGGTCGCTATGATCGGAGGAGTGGGCGTGCGAGAGCAGTAGACCGTTGCGTTCGTGCGCCAGCTGCGCGGTCATGGTTGAGCCCATGTCGAGTAGGGGCACATCGAGCCGAGACGAATGACTGCATCGCGCTCCTCGTGTGCGCGGGCCTCGGCGCCGCAATTGGTCCTGAGGTGTGGATGGATGAGACGCCATGTAGTACAACTTTAGAAGCGCACCAATGGCATGGTGGCAAGCTTGTTGCGCAATCGACTGCGACCAAGATGATGGCCAAGAGAGCGGCTGGGCGGAAAGTGGAGCGAGCTCGACCCTCTCTGCTTCTGCAGCGGCCGTGTTGCATTCAGCCTCAGCCGCCTCAAAGAGCTTCAATCTCAGAACGCGCCCTGGAGACGTCACGTGAGCCAATGACTACGTGTCATCAAAGTTAGGTCGAAGCTACCTCACAAATCGAACATTTTTCGATCCGAAAATCAGTGATCTCGAATGGGATCGCAGCGCGAAGAAGGGCGGACAGCTGAGCGAGCCAAGCACAGGCCATTCCCGAGCAGCTGGCAGCCACGCAGCCACGTCGACTGCTAAAGGCGCGAGACCAGCACCAGGCGAGAGAGAGAGAGACAAAGCTGAGAGACACGCACTGACACGTCTCAGCCAGCCAAGCAGCAGACCAGCAGGGCAGCAGACCAGCAGCAGAGAGAGAGAGAGCCAACGGCGCCGCCTCCCCGTGCGTTGGTCGGTGGGTGTTGGCATCGCGCGCTCACATCTTCTCAACACCTCCTTCTCTCCCTCGCCCATCAACCTGACTTGCCCGTCCATCATCGGCAGTCTTTCCTTTCCTTCCTCTCTCGGCGTCCCTCTGCCGCTCTACTGCCACGCGGCCACTGCAAATTCCCCCAAGCGTGCACGAGCTTGCCTGCCTGCCTGGCCCGCGTCGCCATCGCCTCGCTTGATTGATCCGCACCGGGCCGCTCGACTCTCTCGAGCACGCTCCTCTTCATCATGCAGATGCTCACAAAGTTCGAGTCCAAGTCGAACCGCGTCAAGGGCATCGCCTTCCACCCGCGCCTCCCGCTCTTGGCATCCTCGCTCCACAACGGCTCCATCCAGCTATGGAACTACCAGACCGGCACCATCTACGACCGTCTCGAGGAGCACGATGGCCCCGTTCGCGGCATCTGCTTCCACCCCTCCCAGCCCCTCCTCGTCAGCGGTGGTGACGACTACAAGATCAAGGTGTGGAATCACAAGACCCGCAAGTGCCTCTTCACCCTCAACGGCCACCTCGACTACGTCCGCACCGTCTTCTTCCACCACGAGCACCCCTGGATCCTCAGCGCCTCCGATGACCAGACCATCCGCATCTGGAACTGGCAGAGCAGGACCTGCATCGCCATCCTCACCGGTCACAACCACTACGTCATGTGCGCACAGTTTCACCCCAAGGACGACCTCATCGTCTCCGCCTCCATGGACCAGACCGTTCGCGTGTGGGACATCAGCGGACTCCGCAAGAAGAACACCTCGGCACAGCCCATGAGCATCGAGGAGCAGATCGCACGCGCCAACTCCGGTCAGGCCGACCTCTTTGGCAATACCGACGCCATGGTCAAGTACGTCCTCGAGGGCCACGACCGCGGCATCAACTGGGCCTCCTTCCACCCGACCTTGCCCCTCATCGTCTCCGCCGGCGACGACCGCCAGATCAAGCTCTGGCGGATGTCCGACTCCAAGGCCTGGGAGGTCGACACCTGCCGCGGCCACTTCAACAACGTCTCCTCCGCCCTCTTCCACCCGCGCCACGAGCTCATCATCTCCGACGCAGAGGACAAGACCATCCGCGTCTGGGACATGGGCAAGCGCACCGCCGTACAGACCTTCCGCCGCGAGTCCGACCGCTTCTGGGTCCTCACCGCCCACCCTACCCTCAACCTCTTTGCCGCCGGACACGACAACGGCCTCATCGTCTTCAAGCTCGAGCGCGAACGCCCCGCCTTCTCCGTGCACCAGAACACGCTCTACTACATTCGCGACAAGCAGGTCCGCTCGCTCGACTACTCGACCGGCGCCGACCACGCCCTGCTCAGCGTAAAGCGCCTCGGCAACCAGTACATCCCCCCGCGCACCCTCAGCTACAACCCTGCAGAGCGCTCCGTCATCGTCACCTCGGTCAGCGGCGACCAGGGCACCTTTGACGTCGCGCCGCTCCCGCGCGAGGCCGGCGGCGACCTCGCGGAGTCGTCGAGCGTCGGCAAGCGAGGCCAGGGCGCCAGCGCCATCTTTGTCGCACGCAACCGCTTCGCCGTGCTCGACAAGGCCGCCCAGACCATCGAGATCCGCGACCTCAACAACGCAGTCACAAAGACCATCACGCCACCCCAGCCCACCAACGAGATCTTCTTTGGCGGCACCGCCAGCCTCATCCTCAGCACCGCCACCGGCGTCATCCTCTACGACATCCAGCAGCAAAAGACGCTCGCCGAACTTACGAGCCCGCCCGTCAAGTACGTTGTGTGGAGCATCGACGGCAGCATGGTCGCGCTGCTCAGCAAACACACCATCACGCTCGCCGACAAGTCGTTCGCCTCGTCCAACCTGATCCACGAGACCATCCGCATCAAGAGCGCCGCTTGGGACGACAGCGGCGTGCTCCTCTACAGCACGCTCAACCACATCAAGTACGCGCTGCCCCAGGGCGACAACGGCATCATCAAGACGCTCGAGCAGCCCGTCTACCTCACGCGCGTCAAGGGCAAGACCGTCTCGTGCCTCGACCGTCTGGCCCGCCCGCAAAACATCCAGATCGACCCCACCGAGTTCCGCTTCAAGCTTGCGCTCGTCCAGGGCAAGTACGACGACGTGCTCACCATCATCAAGAACTCCAACCTCGTCGGTCAGGCCATCATTGCCTTCCTCCAGAAGAAGGGCTACCCCGAGATCGCCCTCCACTTCGTCCAGGACAAGAGCACGCGCTTCGACCTCGCCATCGAGTGCGGCAACCTCGACGTGGCGCTCGAGACCGCCGAGTCGCTCAACGTCGACGAGGTGTGGGAGCGCCTCGCCACCGCCGCGCTGCGCCAGGGCAACCACAAGATCGTAGAGCGCGCCTACCAGCGCACAAAGAGCTTCGACAAGCTCAGCTTCCTCTATCTCATCACCGGCAACACCGACAAGCTCGCCAAGATGGCCGTCATCGCAGACAAGCGCGGCGACCATCTCAGCCGCTTCCACAATGCGCTCTACCTCGGCAACGCCGATGCCCGCGCCAGCGTGCTCGTCGACGTCGGTCTGCCTGCGCTCGCCTACGCCGCGGCCAAGTCCAACGGCCTCGATGACCGCGCGACGGCCATCGCTGCCGAGGCGGGCATGGAGGAGGAGGCCGCCGAGGTGGACCGACAGCTGAGCCTCGGCGAGGGCTCGTCCAAGTTGGCGCCGCCCACCGCCGTGTCGCAGGCGTTCCAGTACAACTGGCCGATTGTGAGCACCGAGCAGAGCTACTTTGACCGTGCGCTCGTCGCCGGCAACGAGGGCGGTCCGATCTTCAAGGACAATGCGCTCAACGGCGCCAAGACGCACGACATCGAGTCGTGGCTCGACGGCGAGGCGCTCGAAGAATCGGACGACGACGACGACGAGGATGCACTCGATGCCGAACCCGAGGACTTTGGCGAGGCCGAAGAGGCGTGGGATCTGGCGGAAGAGGAGGAGGAGGTGGCGCTGGCCGAGCAAGAGGCGGCGGTGGTGGCGCCGCTCCACGATGCGCCGCTCGACGGACTGGCCGCCGGCAGCTCCGAGGCGGAACACTGGCTGCGCAACTCGGCCGTGGCTGCCGACCACGCCGCTGCGGGCTCGGTGGAGACGGCCATGACGCTGCTCTCGCGGCAGGCGGGCATCGTCGACTTTGCGCCGCTCAAGCCGCTCTTCCTGTCGTCGTTCCTCGCCGCGCGCAGCTATCTGCCTGCGGCGCCGGGCGTGGGCCCCATCGAGGTGCATCTGCGCAGGAACAACGAAGAGAGCGACGGCAAGGTGACGCAGGCGCATCCGGCGTCGCCGCGCTCGGTCAAGGCGCTCGCTTCGGGCGAGCTGCAGGAGGGCTACCGCGCCGTGAGCGCCAACAAGCTCGCCGAGGCCGAGACGATCTTCCGACGTCTGTTGCACCAGCTCGTGCTGACGCCGGCGTCGAGCGAGGCCGAGGCGACCGAGATCCAGGACCTGGTGGTGCTGTGCCGCGAGTACATTCTGGGCGTTTCGATCGAGCTTGGGCGGCGCAAGCTGGTGCAGACGGAGCCGGACAATGTGGCGCGCAACCTGGAGCTGGCGGCGCTGTTTACGCATACGCAGCTGCAGCCGCAGCATCAGACGCTGGCGCTGCGCAGCGCCATGACCGAGGCGCGCAAGGTGAACAATCTGGCCATGGCGGCGAGCTTTGCCAAGCGGCTCGTGGCGCTGTCGCCCGCGCCCGCCGTGGCGCAGAAGGCGCAGCAGATCATCTCGCTCGCCGAGCGCAGTCCGCGCGATGCGGTCGAGGTGGCCGGGTACGACCCGCTCGAGCAGACGTTTGTCATCTGTGCCGGATCGCACCGTCTTATTACGGCGGCGGGCGCAGGGTCGGTGGCGGACCCGCTCACGGGCGCACGCTACCTGCCCGAGTTCAAGGGGTCGCTCTGCAAGGTCTCGCAGATCTCCCAGGTGGGCAGGCTCGCGTCGGGCCTGCGCAGCTTTGCCAAGTGAAGACGTATCTGGCGGCTTTTGTAGATATTGTGTATGCGCGCGTGTTCAATGGGAGTGCGTGCGTTGAAGAGGACGGCGTGTGTTGCTTGAGAGAGAGCTGGTGAGTTGAGAGGCGTGTGCGAAACGCGCGCTGATGGGGTGCGTGGCGGCGGGTGAAGCACGGAAGCACGCACGCGCCTCCACTTTGGGCCGGAGCGCAAAGCAACACTACTTTGAGCTTTCCAACCCATGCTCCTTGCCTTTGCGCCACATCGCAATCCTTATTCACCGCTGCTTTTTCGCTGGGAGAGGGCATGTCGTTTCTGCCGTCGTTTACGGCGCTTGGAGCATCGTCCAGCTCGACATCGTCGTCGTCGTCGGCGGGACCAACATTCAAGCCGGCATCGCTATCGTACTTTACCATCTTCTGCCCTGCACTCAAGCCACCCAAGTCCCATCGCGCGCAACAAGACGATGACGCCGAGCAGGATCCCGATGCTCTGGAGGAGGAGCGTGAATCCGCCCAAATCCTCTTCTACACCAGTCGCGCTCGAGCAGCTCCTAAAGATCGAATGCTTCGTCAGATCGGTGTAGCCAAAGGCATGATCGAATTCTGCAGCATGGTCCATTCCTCCCCCAGCGATGATGCGGGTCGGACGTGGAACGTGCATTCAAGCAAACGACGGATGATCCTCGTCGAGGTAGAGGCGGGTGTCTGGGTCCATGCTAGCATCGACCTTGCCTACACCACCACCACCTCGTCAGCCGATGCCAAACCGAAGCGCGAGTTTCACGACGACCTGCTTCCAGATGCTTGGTTGGAAGAAGGAATTCGCAGATCGTGGATCGATTGGACGCTACTCAATGGTGGACCTGCACATGTTCTTAGTCAGAAGACGGGGAGGGTGGGGCTGGAACGGTCGCTGGAAAAGTACTTTTCCGTCTGGGCGTGGAGTTGGGATTTGGAGGCTGCAACGAATGCAGGGTCGACCAAGCAGCACGGGTTGTTGGCGGAGTGTGTACAGGCGTATCCTGTGGTACCGCGTGGACCACGCGAAAGGATCGAAGAGCTCATGCGGTCGGATGTTGCACAGCGGCTAGGTCGAGAGCGCGAGATGGTCGTGCTTTCCGATACCCAGCTTCTATGGCCGCCGAGCGATGCAGGCTGTTTCGACGACCCACGCGACACCAAACCCACGCAACCACAAAGAGAGGCAGGGCAGATGGACGCAGCGACGAAAGCGGAGCTGCTACGGCGGGTAGTGAGTCATCTAACAGGGCTGGAACGGGAGCGCGAGCTGGTGCGTGCAGCGGCGGTAGCAAGTACGAGCGACGGACGCCGACGCGGCACATCGGGCGCCATTCGGGAACGTGGTTCGAGCAGTACGAAGCGCGATGTGCGTACGGGGCTGCTGTCCAACGGTACGGGTGCAGGCAAGATGCGCGTGGTGTCTTCGCCTGCCATGCAGCAACGCTCCACGAGCGCGTCGAGCCATGCATCGACGACAAGCGACTCCACACGCTGGTCCAACTGGGGCGGCATGCTGAGTGGACTCGGCAAGCTGGGCCTACGCAGCAGCGAGACGCCCGCTCGCACCGAAACGCCCGAGCCCAAACCAGCGACCGAGGAGAACGCGGCAGGCGCGTCTGCGATCTCGATGGCGCCTAGCGATGGCGGGGGCGGCAAGGCGGGCGATGTGGCGAGCCCACTAGGTTCGCTGCAGGATGCGGGGGAGAAGGTGTGGAACGGTGCCGAGCTTGCGCTGCGTGGCCTGGGCGCGTCGCTGGGACTGGCGAGTGCGTCGGTGGGGTCGAGGGAGGATGGCGCAGCGTCGCGCGAGGCCGAGGTGTCGGAGCAGGAGCGATTTGCCGACGCTTCGTTCGATACGAGTGGCGCCGAGGCGGATGCGAGCGTGGTGACCAAGGTGTCGATCCTGGAGCCCGAGGTGGACGTCGACGAGCTGGCGGAAGCGCTGGGAGCCGAAGAAGCCAGCCATGCAGATGAGGCCGCCGCGCAGCCGGACGAAGCTGAACCCGTGGCACCGGCGAGCAAGGCTGTGGACGACAGGGATGCGGACGCGGCGTCGATTGGGACGACGGCGAGTGCCAAGGCGTTTCCTTCGATCTCGGTGACCTCGGCGGCATGGTACAGCAAAGCGGTTCGGTCGGAAGCGACGGTGTCGACGAATTCGCCACAGCTGTCCAGCGGTGGAGATTCGCAAGATGCATCGCTGGGTGCCGGGCAGCACCACGACTTTGAGCTGGACGGATGGGGCCACGAGACTGCGCAGCCTTTCGAGAGCTTCCGAGTGCACGTCGGGGGTGCTGAGGAGCCGTTATGCCACGAGAGCGTATTGGCACTGCAGGAGGAGCCGTTCAGGTGCACGCCGTACCGGGTCCTCTTCACCACCCGCCGACTGCTGACGATGGTGCTGATCGAGCGCCTCCCCTTGGACAGCGGGTCAACGCTCAGTGTCACGTCGAATGATCTGCTGGACGACGTGTGGATGGTGTTGCGACGTATGCAGCGGCTTCTCAACGACCATGCGCGCTCCGCACCGCCTCCAAGCGACAGCGTAGGATTCGTTCACATCGATGGGCTCACACAGACGATGCACAGTACACTCTCGGCGACAGGCGAGAACGATGGCGAGGTGGAGGTGGTGGCGGATGCGCACTGTGTATCTGCCCACGAGCTCATGCGTCGTCACGGCGTGCTCGAGACGTTTTCGCGCTCGAGTCACGGCAAGACGTGGACGGCCAGTCGACAGCGCCTGCACAAGGAGGGAGGTGCGAGTCAGACGTACATGGTGCTGGCGGGCAGGAAGATGAGCATTGTAGATTGCGATACCGAGCTGCGCAAGCTCGCTCACCAGTATCCGAGCTTTGGCATCTGATCCTCCGACACCCAATCGGTTATTGCCGGCCATGCACATTCGCCTACGGAAAAGGAATCGACGGCACTGACGATCTTACACGCTACAAAAACTGTGATTGCCTGTGCAGAAGGAGAGGAAGAGTTCGGATTTGGCGGCTGGCTCAAAGGATGCAAGTGCGCCGCTTGCACGGTCATGCGGCATGCGGGCCGACGAGCAGAGGGGCTGCGTTGGCACGCGATGGGCGGCTGAAAGAACGCGGATGAGGACGAGGATGAGGATGAGGATGCGCATCCAATCACTTGGCCGCTGCTACGGACTACCATAAGAGGCAGTTGAGATTACTAAAAGAGGCAAGCCGAAGCGGGCAGGGCGAGAGATGTGCATATCGCAATGCGACCAGACCCTGAGCTGCTGAGCCTGGCGCGTGTGATTGGGCTGCCGCGCCTCATCTCTCGACAGATTCGCTGCACCTCCTCTCTCTGGCTTGACCGGTTTTGGGTGGGGAAGGCTGGGGCGAGCGAATTGGAAAAAGAAAAAGACAAAAAAAAAAAAA